GAGAAGAAAAAGAAGAAATCAACAATTACTAACATTAATGATGAAAACGGCCACAATGTACTGGCCGTATTTAGAAATTAAGAAGATATCTATTTTCAGCAAATTTTATACCGTCGACAATCGCACATGCATGCCATTTATTACAGTGGTATAACAAAACATATGGTCAGAAAGCGAACGTTCAAATCACGTGCCCCCATATATATATATATATATATATATATATATATATATATAACTGATTTAAAATATGGTTTTTCGTTACACAGTAATAACCATGTTTCAAAAATGGAAGCTAAAACTTTAAATTTAATTATATAATTAAATTAACAGCATTAGTTCCATTTCATCTTCACACACACACACACACACACACACACACACACATGTATATATGTATATATAGACAGGTATGTGTATGTATGTTTATTAATTAATGGGCACGTTAATACCAGTTATACTAAAATATATTTTATAATGGGGAATATACTGTATATGATTTTGTATAAAAATTGATTTCCATAGTTTGTACGTGTGCACGTGTGTGTGCATGCACAATTACAAGGAACGACATTTATTTCCCGTCTGTGTACGGTGTACATACTTATTTTGTCATAACTCACATACGTATACTTAAATACAACATAAATATCCCTATAAAATTAAAAAAACAACGACACGATCTAATATAACCTAAACACAAAAAAAATAAAAAATTTTTTTTTTTTTTTTTTTATTACTTTTTATTTATTTCCTTTTCTTTTAAATTACAAACATAATCACACACACACACACACACACACACACACACACACACACACACACACACATACACATTTTATTTATTACACAATTTTAAAATTTATATATATATATATATATATATATATATATATATATATATATATATATGTATATAAACGATTTAAATGGTCTCCTATCAGCTGTCTGATTCTTCATGTATGAACGGGGAATCTACAAGCTGAACATGACAATATTCAAGTGTGTGGTCTCAAGTCATGTCAATCTGTTTTAAGGTCGTTTTTAAAGTGTTTACAGGAGGGCAACACACAAAACAACGCCCTCTTGTGATTGTCTACAACAATGGACAGCGATTTGTAATGTTTCTGCTCGGCCGGTGCCTGTCAATCATGCCTCTTGACGAGGACAGACACAAAGCGGCCCTTCAAAAAAAAAAAAAAAAAAAAAATTCAAAAAATTGTTTCGCCTCAACGCGCACAATCGACAACAACATTTATTTTACTAATCTGTTTTTTTTTTCGGTGCCCCCACCCACGACTTTTTTATTTGAAGATTTAAAGAAGTCTCTATAAAGAATATGATTTGACGGAACGCTAGGACGATGACATCAGAATCAACAATGAAAAAAGAGAACCAAGGATTTTCGCAGCACGATCCCCAGAGATGATTCATATCCTTTCATAAAAACACATTTCCTGTTCGGCATTTATTTACTTTTATTATTTACTTTTCTCACCAACAGTAAACTTACTCTTGTACTCACACTCACAAACATACACATATATACAATTATATATATATCTTTGTTATAATTCGTTTATATATATATATATATATATATATATATATATATATATGTCCAAAGAAAAGCTATTTTCAAAAAATGAAAAATCGTTCTTGAAGCTTTTATTTTAATTTCAAGCTAATAGATTAAATTTAATATTTCCCATAAGCAAAATACTTTGCTGTATTTCAAAACTAATTCAAATTAATTGGAATTAGTGATTTTTAAATAGCTTAAAATGTCTGATTTTAGCAATATTTACATTTCTGTCAGCACAACGCAATTCTCTTTATTAAAAAAACACATTTCAAAAATAAAATATACTTTTCTGAAAGTTTATTTGTGGAAAAAACTAGTTAGTTTAAAGTTTAATTAATCTCATTTAAAACATATATTATTTACTTTTAGTTTAAAATATCGTAGAAAAGCATTTTGTAACACAGGGGTGGGTGTGTTTAAGAAGTGTTGACAGCTCTTTTAACAAACTGATGTTTGGGAAATTTAACAAATGTTTTCTACGGAGGACGTATCTGTAAAAATTACTTTTTATATAATTTTTTAACTACCCAATAATCTTAAAAATTCAGGTAATTTAAATATTTTATTATTTTATTGTAGTTTAGGTACTTTGGCTTTAAATTTATTATAGTTACTGCTCTGATCTATCTATCTATCTATCTATCTATCTATCTATCTATCTATCTATCTATCTATCTATCACTGTTCATATCTATGTCTCTATTTAAAACTTAAATATATTTTGCCTGATATAATTTATATATCTTGTAACCTATAAACATATTAAATCTCATTTATTTCACTATTAATCGTTTATTTTAACGTGGATGATTGCGACACTTCAATGTAAATAGCATTTGTCAAAATTTCCGTTTTTAAATAGTTTAATGACGCTCCGATCATTTTTATGAGATAACAAATCTCATAGGAAGTTTCAATAAAAGATGAAAACTAATATTTAGTTGGAAATTTTCTTAGAGAAGAAGAAGAGAAGGGTTCATGCTTTTCGGAAGCGCAACTATGCGAAATGAACGTAATAAAGTAGCTAGAATTTGAACTTGGTTTGCTGATTCAACTTTCGCAAAAGAGCAAAGATAAAAAGAAGGATGCCGTAAACAACAGTTGCACGTTCCATGTTCCCTCTTTGTTGGTGAAACGGATAAAAAAAAGGACCAAATTGTTTAGGGACATTCTGATTATTTTTATGAAATCAAAAAATGCACACAAACAAATCAAATATGTCAATAAAAGACGAAAGTAATATCTACTAAGGGAAGTGATTAAAAAATCTTGAGGACTCCTCCCCTTTTTACACAAATGGACTCACCCAGTATATACATATACTACTGCTATGTGAAGACCCGAGAGACACAGACCGAAGAGGGAGAGTGAAAGGTTGAAGGTAACAGACAGACAGAACGAACGTAGCCAGCAAGAGTCACAGTGAGCGTAGCACGTAGACACAGTAAGAAGTCATACAGCGATACTTCAATACCAAAGACTGTATAGATATTTGGCTACTAACCCGTATTCCTGGAACTACTAACCTGCATTACCAGTTTGTATTATTACGTTAATACATTATTTTCCGATATTCATTCTTGGCTTTTGTTATTTATTGGTATCGGAATTCATCCCGGAATCCACACACAAAAAAAAAAACATCAAATCATCACATCTCCGGCTATCGATCCAATTCGATTAGGAATGTCCCAACATTCTAGCAACATTTTTGTAAAAATTATTGGCATTTTGTGTATGGTATAAGTTTTGACTGAAGTCCACTGATTGGGTACACCACAGTACCTCTCCATTTGTTATTGTCTTCAATGTAAATAGGTTTCCCTATCGTCCGGTTCACACTCCTCCCCGGTCTTTTAAACAGGAGTAGTATATCCATTGTTTCCTGTTTAGGATTGGGTTTCCGCTTCCTTTTAAAGTCTTTTAGTCATTCTCTTTCAATCTCAGTAGTCCATTGCGTCTTAGTGGCATTATCGCCTTGCTTAATTAAAAAAAAAAGGCTCTGATTTAACATTCTTAGAGTCGTTATCATTTTGAAAATCCATGACCGAATTCTTATGATTTTGAGCGCATGGTGGCATAATCTAAGATTTCTAATAAGTCATTTTTCATGAGTTTTTGAATTCGATACAAACGATCTACACCATTTCCAGACATACAACCTAACACCCTAGATGATTTCTCCCCCGTGTTTAACCTTTATTTTAAAGCTATGCGGATGGAACTACGTGTCTCCTCTTCTCGTTTATCTCTGACATTCAAATCCAAAAATGTTCAATTTGGTTGGTCAATTTCCATCATTACAGTCTTCAAATTCCAATCGTTATTCTCCTAGAAGAATTGAAATTTGTTGTTCTTTCAAGAAAAGTGTATCTTTTTGTGGGACTCAATCCTATCATTACAATATGGTGATTTTTACTTCATCTTCAAACCCTATTTTTGTTTTATATTATTTCTTTTATCCAAGACAGTTTTCACTTGCTCATCGAAAGTCAGTGAATTCATTTGTACAGTAGTTTTTATGGATTGTTCAAATGTGGATTTATTTGAAAAGTCACCGACGTGTTTGTAGATTTTTCTGCCATTGTGAGCAGTACATTTCAAAAGGCATTGCCCTGTAGGATGACTTAAACAAGCTTATGTCCATCTCTATTTTTTTAATTTCTGGTAACAAACTATATTTTTGGCCCATCGCTTCATGTCGAGTGTAGCAGAAAAATATTATAACTTAAACTTATTATCTACAAATAAAATGTTAAAGTACCTTTCGAGCGGTGTCCTTAAATTAAGTTAGAGTTTATGAAAAGCTATTTAAATCATTTCCGTGAAAACAAATAATTGAATGTTTTCATTTCTCATATTTATATTATGGTAAAAATTGCAAAATAATTAAATAAAATGGCCCTTGTGTAAAAGTTTCGATTCATTCGTTCAATGGCGAGAAGAGAGGAAATGTCGGAAAAAGAGGCATGCACTGTGTGCTGTGCCACTTAGAGTATAGAGTTTCTTTAAAAAAAAAATTGACCTTCGAAATCCTTTTTGTACTTATAGTGGAGTAATGGATACCGGTCGGAATTGAGGAATCGGAGGGTCGAGTTCGAATTCCAGTCGAATCCATTACATTCACTTACGTGCTAATACCCTTGGGAAAGATATGAATCCTCTTTTTCTCTCCCCCACCCAGTTATGGGTAAATAGCAGGACAGACTAGGTTCTATAGCCTTGGATAGCAACTGGTCTACTGCAAAAAGAAATGGCAACCTACTGCAGGAAAAATCTGCCTCGTCAGTCATGTATCGAAAGATACATGATCGCCTAAGCGTGTATCACGCAGGGGCACATAACTGACTGACTGACCTATAATGTAGATACTGGAAAAAAATCAATCAACTCCAGCAATTAGAAACAGGTTTTTATGCACATAATTCCTTCTCTTCCTCTGTCCCTCACTTTCTCTTTTTCTCTCTCACTCTTTCCCTTTTTTCTTTCTCTTTCTTTCTCTCTTTTTCTCTTTCTCTTTCTGTCTTTCTTTCTCTCTCTTTTCTTTCTCTCTTTTCTTTTCTCTCTCTTTTTCTTTTTTTTCTGTGTCTTTTCTCTCTTTCTCTCTCACTTTCTTTTTCTCTCTCCTCTTTCCCTTTTTTCTTTCTCTTTCTTTCTCTCTTTTTCTCTTTCTCTTTCTGTCTTTCTTTCTCTCTCTTTTTCTTTCTCTCTTTCTTTTTCTCTCTCTCTTTCTCTTTTTCTGTGTCTTTTTCTCTCTTTCTCTCTCACTTTCTCTTTTTCTCTCTCACTCTTTCCCTTTTTTCTTTCTCTTTCTTTCTCTCTTTTTCTCTTTCTCTTTTTCTTTCTCTTTCTCTTTTTCTTTCTCTTTCTGTCTTTCTTTCTCTCTCTTTTTCTTTCTCTCTTTCTTTTTCTCTCTCTCTTTCTCTTTTTCTGTGTCTTTTTCTCTCTTTCTCTCTCTCTTTCTCTTTTTCTCTCTTCTCTCTGGCTCCATTTGTGTATGTGTGCACTAAAAATAGACATCGATTATTATTCGAACTGTTTCAGACAACTGTACACTGTATTGAGACATATGGTTATGCTGGAGCCGCCCGTACATTATTAGTTGTTTTGGAAAAGATCCTAAAATGGCACGCTGGTCATTTCTGCGAATAGACAAAAATAGATATCATCCGTCATCCACAAGCAAGCAAAAAATTATACACACACACACATATATATATGTATATATATATATCAAATGTCATGCTCTTTCAGACCAGTGGTGATCACGGCTCTCCAAAATTTCCTTTAATATTATTGAATTGCCATGACTTCTTGGTAAAGATAGATTAGTAATTTCCTGTTAACGTCTTCACTGTTTGGAATTCAGAGTTTTAGTTGCCACCGAAGGATAGAGTATCTGGGGGAGAAGAAGAAGAGATAGATTAATACACGTTGTAACAATGATCTTTAGGAAGGATTTGATAACTGAGAAAGCTCTCCCAGAGATTCCATAACTGCAGAGATTATATAGCAGCTCCGAGACCATATTTTGACAAAGGCCTTTTATATATCTATGGTAATGGCCTTCATGATGAATTTATTGTCTAAAGCTTCGCCGATTCTGTGAGTAATGACACTTAAGACATGAGTTGTGGATCTAGCCGGGTTGAATCCATATTAGCTATCGCTCAGTAGGTTGTTCCAGTTGAGGTGCTCAATAACCTTATTGATTATAGATTCGAAGAGTTTGCAGAGATGATATTAAGGAGGTTAATGGATCGATATTTCAACAGGCATAAGCGCTCACTCGCATTCTTAAAAAATAGGGCACACAGTTGGCACATTCCATAGAATTAGGAAGCATTTCTCCTTCCAACGGCAGTTGAATAGTTTTGCCATAAATCTGGACTGATATTCTTAAGAACAACCATTGGAATTTTATTCAGACCGGTGAAATTCTAAGAATCAATGATTTTGACAAGTCTGGAATCTTCCCGTGAGATATATTATTGGTATAACAAATGCAGGAAATTATTGGTATAATAAATGCAGAAATCTTTGATACCATATATTTAGAATTATAACCAAAATTAATTTAATTTTCCGAATTTTAAGTTTTCTTAAATCTTGACAGTGGCGAAGAAAAGAAAAAGATTTTAAAATAAAATATTTTAAAAATATAGCTTTCTCATGTCTTTATTTTTGCCATTTGTTTGCAGTTGGCTAAGCTCTCTAACGACAACGTTGAAATTGGATTAGATAAAATAAAATTATACTTTCTAAAAATATACATCATGTCTCTAGTGTAAAAGATGCGAATCGAACCCCTTTCGATTTCATTTTGTTGTATTTTTATTTTCATTTTCTTTTTTCATCTCCTCATACCTTTGACTGATTTCATTTTCTGATAAAAGGCGCTGAATAAAAAACAAAAGATCAGTATAATTTGTTTTTTAATGAAATTCCATTCGTTTTATTTGGGTTTCCCTTGAAAATAAAAGTCGGAAAGAAGTGACGTCAGAAAAGAAAACAAAAGGAAACGAAGATTAATGACTTTTTTTCTGAGGCGATTTCAACAGGAACAACATCTGATAAGTTAGTATAGAAATATTAGCATAGCATGCGCTTATATGTCTTTTCCATGGACCTCATATGAGTCTGAGCAGCTGCTGTGTTAATGTGTATATGTACGCGTGTGCGTGTGTGTGCAGCTATACGTACGTTTGTGCGTGCGATTGTGTCCTTCACACTCAAATTCATGTGAAAACTTTAACGTTTCTCATTATTTCACCTGTTTTACCTTTTCTTTCCCTCTCCTTTTTTTAGCCTTCGTTTTCCTTTGAGATTCTTTCTTTTATTCTTCTTTTTCTTCCTTTTCTTTCCTTTTTCGTCTTGTTCTTTTCATTTTCTTCCTGTTTTTTAGCTTCATCCTTCTTCTTCTTCTTCTTCTTCTTCTTCTTCTTCTTCTTCTTCTGTCATCTTCATCTTTTCTAGGCCTTAAATAACCAACAAAGTTGTGATGAGCCGTAAAAATAAATAAGGCAATCTACATTTTTATATACTTCTTCATTTCTTATCTTTCTTCTTCTTCTTCTTCTTCTTCTTCTTCTTCTTCTTCTTCTTCTTCTTCTTCGTTTCTCTTTCTTCATACTCTTCACCTTCCTTCCCTATTGTACTTTTCTGAAACTCCTACTTCTCCTTCTCTTTCATCTCCCCCTCATTTTCCTCTTCTTCTTCTTCTTCTTCTTCTTCTTCTTCTTCTTCTTCTTCTTCTTCTTTGTTATGGCTTCATTTAACAATGCAAATAAGAAACTAGCTTTCTTTTTCGGACATCAAGTAGAAAAAAGTGCCATTTACTTTCTGGTTTTACGATTGACGATTTATTAAATACTTTAATTGATTCAGGAAATTAATCTTGCGCCAAAAACTGATTTCATTCTGAGAGGAACCAGTTAAAAACCGCCATTCTCAATTTTATAGGGAAATACAAAAGCTGCAGCATTCTGAGGACATTTGTTTCATTTCTAATGCACCAGAAAATGAAACCCCCCCCCCAAAAAAAAAAAACAGCTTTTTGAATTGTTATTCTTTTTGCTTCCCTTTCACTAAATTTTTTTTACAAATCCAATCATTTTATCACTTAGTCATTCGTTACTGACACGGTAAGGGTAAAGGTTGTAATGAGGTTAGGTTTAGGGTTGGCTAAACCTTTGACCCCCAACTGGTTCTATATTTACTTCACTCTGATTCACTTTTTATCAGTATTCTTACCTCTCCTTTGCTTTCGTCTTCAAACTGTCACTCACTCACTCACTCACTCACCCACTCACTCACTCACTCATTCTTTGTCTCTCTCTTGTTGTCGCAAGTCACCTTTCCAAATCTTACTTCATTCTTTCTGGTTTTCTCTTTCTATCTTGAAAAGTTCCATCTACTTTTCTTTCCTTTATTCATTTTCCCTCTCTCTTCACTTGAGTAAATATCTTATTATTCATTGCTTCACTTATTCACCAATTTATTTATCCTCTTCCTTTCTTTCTCTTCATAGACACTTCTTTTTTTTTCTTTCTTTCTTTCCCGATTTCTTGCTTCTCACTTCTTTCTTCTTTTTTCTGTCTTTCTTTCTTTCTTTCTTTCTTTCTTTCTTTCTTTCTTTCTTTCTTTCTTGCTTCTCACAGACATTTTTCTTCTTTTTTCTTTATTTGTTTGTTTGTTTCCTTCTTTCTTTCTTTCTTTCTTTCTTTCTTTTCTTTTTTCTTTCTTTCTTTCTTTCTTTCTTTCTTTCTTTCTTTCTTTCTTTCTTTCTTTCTTTCTTCTCACAGAGATTTCTCAATTCTTTCCTTATCACTTTCTTCTTCCCACATTTACGATGTTTTCAATTTCTTTTTTCCGATTTCATTTTTTCTTTCATTTGCATACACATTACTCTCTTTTTATCTTATTCTTTCTTTCTTTTTTTCTTTCTTTCTTTCTTTTTCAAAAAGGTTTCCTATATGTTTTCTCCTCCCTAAATGCTGCTTTACTCTTTCTTTCACCCTCATTCCACCATCATCGTGTCTACTTGTTTATATCTTTTCAACACAATAGAATGGACAAATTTCATTTCATAAACTTTTCATCTTAAACTTTTCTCTTTAATTATTTTTATTCAGCGTTTTTGCTAATTTTTTGTGTTTATTCATATCGATGAGAGAAAAAAATATAATTCCATTCAGCTTATGGAAGTAAACAGGGATTTATTGACAAAACTACGAATAACGTTTGCTGATCGAATATTGATTACATACAAGTATGTTTCGGTAAGTATGGGGGGGGTACCTTCATTACATATTCACACACTCTCTACATATATATATATATATATATATATATATATATATATATATATATATATATATTATTTTTTATTTTTAAAAATATGGTTGCATCGCTTACACAGGAATTACCATGTTTCAAAACAGAAACTGAAATTTTAAATTTAATTGTAAAATTAAATTTAAAATCCATAACTTCGTTCCATTCTCAAGCGATTCACTTGAGAATGGAACGAAGCTATGGATTTTAAATTTAATTTTACTGTTCATTCTTATTATTTTAATATATATATATATATATATATATATATATATATATATATATATATATATATATAATTAAATTTATTTTAATTTGGCATTTTTTATTATCTGAAACGTTATTTTTAGTGCATACCCGTGTTTGAAATAGACGCCCCGTTTCTTATGTGTGGACTATTTTAATATATGCGTGTTATTTCTACTGACCTGCGTACTGGAGGAAACTTCATCAAGAAAAAGTGCTTGGCGGCAGGATTTGAACCCGCGCCCCCGTTTGATTCGGCATGCATTATATTGGTCAGACACATATTCTTTATTTAGCTTTTTCGCGTGCCGAGGCTGATCGACCTCATACACACTGTTTAAAATAAAAAGGGCGTCTATTTCAAACGTGGTTATCCACTAAAAATAACGTTTGAAGTAATAAAAAATGTCGGATTAAAAATAAATCCATTGGTTCTTTAGAAATTACTTTGTTTAAGTTACGGATAGGAACCTGAACAGATATGGGCATCTGAGAAAATCTGAACGAGAGAATGTGCGTTCCTCAAAAGAGTACATAGAACCTGACTGGGTTGGCCAAATCAAATGGTAGAGAGAGTAGGATCGAATCATGACGGAGAGAATATTTTCTTTATTAAATTTCCCCGAGTGCTCAGGTCGGTTGACGCAATGTTTCACGTCTTAAACTATCAAGGACAATCTATCTATCTATCTATCTATCTATCTATCTATCTATCTATCTATCTAAGAACATTTCAGAAATGCCGAATTAACACCTAAAAAACTCGTTTGTAAAACCGTGTATAAAAAAAAAACATCCACGCACATATATTCGCTGAAATATGAAAAACAAATATTTATGAGCAAATAAAAATTGGAGAAATAAAAAATTCATATAGGAAAAGATCAAAGTAAAAATCAAAACAGGAAGAAATATTTTAATCAGCTTACATGTGTATGTGTGTGTGTGTGTGTGTGTGTACATGCGCAATGAATTCACATGCACACCCCCGTGCATACATATGTATATATGTTCCTGTGCGTTGAAAGTTATATAACTCTATCGAACTGTGGATACCCCTAACTGCTTCTCATTCTCTTTCACTCCCAGTAACCCCCTTCTCTCTTAGTCGCTTTATGGTCTTGCTTGGGGTGAAATTATTACACACACACACACACACACACACACACACACACACACACACACACACACACACACACACACACAGAGGGTGCGATGGGTATATTGTCGCCATTTTTATTTTTAATTTCGCGAATGCGAGTTGTTTGCTATTGATTTTGTCGACTGCACAGTATAGTAGGGTCAGTTGGGCACCGTCTGTGAGAAAAGGAGCACCATGCATAATTCACTCTACCAGAGATTTGAAAACGGCATGTGGTACTGCTTGGGATTCGCGCCGGAAGTTCCAATACGGATATTTCAAAGTGTTTGGGTGTTAATCTGAGAGGTACATAGGATTCGGAAAGAGTTGCATGAGTCTAATGGTGATTACGAAGGTACGTCAGCTCGGAAAACTCACTCTGATCGCTCTGGTAAGAAAAGAAATCCAGAATTTGTTGGTGAGAACCTCCGTCTCAACATGGAGGAGCTAGTGCCAATCTGGGTTAAGAGGATGGCTGCTGGAAGACCCTATATCTGGCAATAGGAATCTGCACCACGTAACACAAGCAGGAAAACCCAATCATGGTAGTTAGACAATTTTTATGACTACATCACCCCTTACATCTGGTTACCTAACTCCCCAAACTGCAATGCCTTTGATTATTATGTGTAGGCGCAGTTGAGCGAGAGACTAAGAAAACTCCTTGTAACACCAAAGATGAACTGAAGGCATGGATAATGGCAGCATTCACCAACAAGGAGATCGTCCAGAAGAGTTGCGGGAGATTCTGAAGTCGTCTGGAAGCCGTGGTTGAATCCAATGGCGATTTTATTAATTTACTCTTCAGTATTTTAAGATATATTTGGTGTAATTTGGATAAATATATCTGTTAAAATGAGATGTCAGTATTATTTTCATTTTTGTATCATTTAGACCAGGCATGTCAAACTCAGGGCATATGGAAGGCCGCATCGGCCATATCTACAGCCTCAAGGACCGCAACTGCTTACAGTCTTACATTAGTCACATATACTAATAAGTAAACTTTAAATACAAAATACTTACAATAGAAAGGAAGTACAATTTAATCATTTTTATGTTGTCCTGATGAGTGACATTGATTTAGACAATCTATTCTCGATATATCAGGTTGGAATATCTGTCAAAGATGACAAATGTTCATCAGTTAATCTGGTTCTGTGAGATGTTTTTGTGGCCTTCATAAACGAAAATAACATATGTGGAACCAAATATTGCCATAATCTTTCTGACAAACTTTCTGAAGTTCTTAAATGAAGACGATATGAAAAAAAAATCCAGAAATCCTCGTACTTCTAGTTACTTTCAACAAAAATTCTCGATATACGACGGCCATAGAAATCTTTATGAGGGCCACGAAGATGCATGTAAAAGGCCGCACACGGCCCCCAGTTTGAAACACCTAATTTAGACGACAAGTTATACATCGCAACCACTACATCAGTAAGTCTGATTAATTGGATCGTAATTACGATTCCAATGTAATAAATTATAATCATGGAATATTAGTGTTTGAGCCTTTTATATTATATTCTTACTCTGTCCTGGACATTAAGTTCTACATGGAATTCTTGGGAATTTATTTATATAAATATACATATATATATAGTTATATATATAAGGTAACCAAAAAAGTTCTGTCCGTATTTAAAGGAAAAAAGAAAACGCTTCGCAGTATGTGTAACTTATATTTAGTCTTCGAAGTAATCGCCATCGGCATCCAGCACCTTCTGCCATCGTGTCTCCAGCTGTTTAATGCCCTTGCGGTAGAACTCGAGGGGTTTTGACGCAAAGAAGTCCGTGAGGGCTTTGCGCAAGTCTGCTTCATTGCTGAAGGATTTCCCATGAAGATGATTATCCAGGGAGTGAAAGAGGTGGTAATCGGATGGTGCAAGGTCAGGTAAATAAGGTGGATGGCACAAAGTCTCCCACGCAAGTTGCTGCATGGTATCCTTGACCATTTGCGCGACATGCGGCCTGGCGTTGTCATGGAGGAAAAGCACACCTTTGCGATTTACCAGTGCTGGCTACTTCTGGCGCAATGCCTGTTGCACACGTTTCAATTGCTGCGAGTATAGGTCTCCAGTGACCGTTTGGCCCGTTGGTAGCAGTTCATAATGAACCACTTGACCAACTGTTCACCAGACACAAAGCATAATCTTGCGTAGGTGCATAGGCGGTCTTGCGGTGTGAGGGACAGCAGCCTGAGGAGACAACATATGTCTGGAACGCTTGGGAATTTCGTACAGAATCCACTTTTCATCACTGGTAAGCACTCGATGGAATAAGGATGCGGTACGGTGGCGAGAAAGCAGCGATACGTAAGGTGCCATTCGTTGTCCCTTGTGGACCTCCAACAGCGTTTGCGGACACCCCTTGCTCAGTTTGTACGTCTTACGTGCAGGTGAAGTCCGTTTCATCGGAAACGTTGAACTGTCTTGCAAGTTCACCACACGTTAGACTACTGTCCTCTTCAATGGCCGCCTTCAGGACTCCGTCATTCAAGACCTGTGGTCGTCCACTGCGAGGCTCATCATGGAGAGACAAATCTCCCGACTTGTACTTTCGAAACCAACGCCTTGCAGTACATTCATCCACAGCACTATCCCCAAACTCTTGACATATGCGGCGACTTGATGCAGCCCACTTTGAAGTCGTAAAGCAAACAGCCCCGAATAAGATCTCTAGACACTTCCATCCTTCTCACAGCTGTCCGATTTAGAACTGATGGCCGGGCATGGTGCGCGTGTTTTTTTTATAACGTCTGGTCTTCCTACTTCCGGCTGTCCGAATTTGAAAACAATTGCTACACGCATTTCGTATATATTTCAACTTCATTCAATGACTAGTCAAAAAACGGACATAACTTTTTTGGTTACCTTTCTCTCTCTCTCTCTCTCTCTCTCTCTATATATATATATATATATATATATATATATAACATGGTGTTTCGATTTCGTCAATTTAATTAATTTATTGAATACCTTAGCTGTAATTATCTATTGAGTGCTTTTGGACAGATGTTCTGTTAGACTTAAAAATTACGTAAAATTATAATTTTCATGCAATATCCCAATTGTATTATATATGCACACATTCAGACATACACGCACGTGTGTGTGTGCGTGTGTGTGTGAAAAAAAGAAAATATAGATTAAATTCGACAAAATGATTAAATAAAGGAGCAAGTCATAAAACCTTTCTAAATTTGGCACGTTTCTTTATTTTAGCTTCGAAAGAAATCTTTGCGAAAGATGGAACGCGGAGATGTTTCGTTATTTTGAATTCTATGTTGTTTATTTTCACTGCTTGGATATATGTCACGTCTCCATTTTTTGTGGCCTTAGTTTGTATTCGCACATTAAAACGCGCACAGAGGCCGTAACGTAGTCATAATATGCCCATTACAAATTTTATATAAATACTAACGCTACAAGATGAAGACATGACATGTAACCCCAAAGAACGAAGAAATTAAAATAAAACAACATAGAAATAAGAAATATTTGCGACAATCTCAAACATTTGCAGGCAAGTTTTAATCTAATCTTCCACATTCAAATTTTTAACACTCTTCATATTTATCATGCAATCAAGAAATATATCAATAGACACATTTCCTTACGATTACGTTTCAAGAATTAAACACAGGAACCACGAGATAAGCACTAAAATCTTACTTATTATAAAACGCAGATTGTGTGTGTGTGTGTGTGTCTGTACGTTTATATATTGGATCGGATTTCCTACATTTTTCAACCGATTTCAACAAAACTTCACAAGACTACGTAAAATTACGTTGCGGTGCTTCTGACAGCGCCAAAAATTGGAAAAACAATTCTTTTTGCACGAAATCAATTTGAAAACATGATAAAACACGATTCTGTCGCCAGAATGAAAGGGGGACAACTCATATCGAGTTATACTTATAAAACCCAGGTTTTGTGTGTGTGTGTTCGTTTATATATGGGATCGGATTTCCTACATTTTTCAACCGATTTCAACAAAACTTTTTTTTGGCAGGTAGTGTTTCTTATTGTCTTGCACACTTTTTTCTTTATTTTTACATTCAGAATACTTTAAAAATTTCATTTACAAGACAATTGTTTATAATAAAATTCTATTCAATCGATAGACTCATATCGATTGAAAGCAATGTTTTTCTTTGAGTGTGGGTTTAACCAATTCGTAAAAAAAAAACAAAAAAAAACTAATTAAGACATGCGTGTCCGTCAACCTTAAACAATAATCTTTGTCAATTTTATTTTTCAGTCTTTATGATGGTCGATACTTGATCTATCTCTTACTGTTACATCCCCGGGCAAGGCCGGGTTCTACTGCTAGTTATATATAAAACTTGTGGATTTGGGCAGCAACATCTCTTAAAAAACAACTGACAAGGTTCTGTGTTTTTTTTTCTTTTCTGCACATAAATTATATAAACTTAGGGAAACTAAAAAAAGAAATCGATTTCTTTTTGAATTTGTAGGTCTGATGAATTGGATCATGATTACGATTCCAATGTAATAAATTATAACCAGAGTATATTAGTGTTTGAGCCTTTTATATTATATTGTTACTCTGT